TTTCTTCTTTTTTTTTTTTTTTTGTCTTGTGACACATACTAAAATGAAAGTAAATTCAGTTCAATTAATTTCCACAATCATTTTTTCTGAGAACCTAAGCCTTATACAGTAACATTTAGATTATAATTGCTTCATTAATAATCACAATTACATTTTTTCCTTAGAAATCCCATAACGTTTCTCCCAAACTTTAAATAGTAGTTGCTAATTTCCTATTGGTTTCTTTATTTATTTATGTTTTTCTAATCCTTCTCCTCATTCTTATTTTCCCCTTAAGAGAATTAAAGTTATATCTTATATAGCTTACATAGCTTCTTGTTTGTCTAATGAGAAACTAAGCACTTTACAAAATTATAATGATTTTATAAAGGTAGAACTCTTCTTTCCTTAAACTTTGTATTTGGAGTTATGTAATATTTAAAATATATTTCTAAAGAAAGAAAAATGCATCATTTTATTATTTATTATATTTATTATCATATTTATTATCATATTTATTAAAAGTATAATTGTTCTATTAAACAATTTTGAATTTATATGTGGAAATTTACATGCATTTATAGATATTACTTCATATCATCAGTTTCTTATTCAATACTTAGATGGAATCAGTTTAAAACTGAATCGTTAATTTTCTCATTTTATACACAAAATGAGTTTAACTTTTACTTTAAAATCTATTTTAAAATAGTATAACTGAAGTTTATATGTGTTTAGAACAAAAGAAAAGCATCACTAATGTTTCTCTGTAACCCAAATCATGCATACTGACAAGTATTATTTCCACTGTTACAAAATAGTCACCTATTTTAAATTTCATTTAGAAATTTAAGACAATGCTGTTGTGAAACTCCCCTAACTCACTAGATGTGACTACACTCATTTCACTCTTAAGTGACTCACTGGAAATCATTCCCATGAAGGACTCAAGGATGGAATATTAGAGGCAGGAAATCAGTGCATCCAAAGGGAAAGGGTAGAAGTGTAAAAAAAATAAAGAAAACCATACCAACAACTAGAAATTAAGCTCTGGATGACAGAACATACTCACCAATGATATATCCAATAAGGGGTTAATATCTAAAGTTTATAAAGAACTCATACAACTCAACAACAACAGAAAAAAACGAAAACAATCCAATTAAAAATTGGGCAGAGGCCCTAAATACACACTTCTCCAAAGAAGACAGATGGTTAATAGACATATGAAAAGATATGCTCTAGCCCTGGCCGGTTTGGCTCAGCGGTTGGCGCGTCGGCCTGCGGTACAGAGAGACCCGGGTTCGGTTCCCGCTAAGGGCATGTACCTCGGTTGCAGTTTGTCCCCGGCCCTGGTTGGTCGTGCGGGTAGCGGCCACTCGATGTGTCTCTTCACATCGATGTTTCTCTCTCTCTCTCTCTCTTCCTCTCTCTCCCTCCTGCTCTATCTGAACAAAAAATGGAAAAATGTCCTCGGGTGAGGATAAAAAATATGCTCAACTAATCATCAGAGAAATGCAAATTAAAACCCAAAGAGATATCACCTCATACCTGTCAGAATGGCTATCTTTAATAAATCAACAAACAACAAGTGTTGGCTAGGATATGGAGAAAAGGGAACTCTGCTGCACTGTTGGTGGAAATGCAAACTGGTGCAGCCACTATGGAAAACAGTATGGTGGTTCCTCCATAAATTAAGGACGGAATTGCCTTATGACCCAGCAATTCCACTTCTGGGTATATATCCTAAGAAATTCAAAACATTAATTCAAAAGAATATATTCAGTCCTATGTTCACTGAAGCATTATTTATAGCCAAGATATGGAAGCAACCCAAGTGCCCATTGTAAATGAGTTGATTAAAAAACTGTGGTACAGCCCTGGCCCGTGTGGTTCAGTGGTTAGATTTCAGCCTGCTCACCTAAGGGTATTGGGTTGGATTCCCGGACAAGGCCATGTACCTGGGTTGCACGTTTGCTTCCCAATCCCGGTTGGGGTGCGTTTGGGAGGCAACCAATCAATGTGTCTCTGTTATCTCTCTCTCTCTCTCTCTCTCTCCCCCCCTTCTTCTTTCTACTCTCTCTCAATGGAACAAATAAAAAATAAAAATAATAAAACAACCATGGTACATATATATAACAAAAAACTACTTGGCCATAAAGAGAATGAAATATTTCTATATGTGACAGCATGAAGGGACCTAGAAGGTATCATGATAAGTGAAATAAGTCAGACAGAGAAAGACAAATACCATATAATTTCATTTAAATGAACAAAAAAATAGAAATTGGCTCATAGAAACACAGAATAAATGAATGGTTGCCAGAGGGAAGGGTGTGGGGGAATTGAGTAAAAAGGGTGAAAATAATTAGGAAGTAAAAACTGGTAGTTATATCACAGAAATGTAAAGTATAGTATAGGGGATAATATTGTAATAACTATGTATGTTGCCAGTGGTTACTTGAAACATTGGAGGGATCACTTTGTAAAGGATATGGTTGTCTAACCACTATGTTGTATACCTGAAACTAATACAAAATCATATTGAATGAAAATTACAAAAGCTGGGCAAAAACGGGAAATCAAGGTCTGGGCAGGAGAGAACCAGAGATGGCTTATTTGGATGCATTACAAGTAACCGAACCTTTCTTCTAAGCTGTTTGAATTCTTGATTAATGTCATTGCATTCTGGTTCTTTGCTGTTTGCAGTGATGATAATATTAATATTAAAAATATTACTATTTAGTAATATTAATAAATACCCCATAGTATAGAATAACATAGTCCTAAATAAATACCCTGCAAAATAACCCTGTGAAAAGACAGTTAAGCACAAGAAAACAAAACAGACCATACCTTAAAATTTTACATTTGGATGCTTATTTTTCACAACATATTTTACTATCATTCTTAAGTAAGCAAACATGTTTTCAAACCAAGAAATGATGATTCATACCCCATGTTTTCCCAACTGACATGATTCAAGCTTACTGTTTACTCCAACGACATGGAAGAAAGACAAGTTTCATGTCGATTCAAAAGCTGTTTCATCTTTTGACAACCCCTCACGGGGATCCATATGTGTGTCTACAGCTTTAGTAAGTCAGTACTACAAGTAAGACTGAGGACACTACTTTATTTCACTGTCAGACACTAGCTCCTGTGATATAAAAAAAAAAAAAATCAAGTTTGTAGATGGAGAATTTCTCTCAAATGTAGTTTTCCTTTATTTCTCACACAAGGGTCTTGATTTCTAAGCATTTTCTTGTATTTGGGAGTTGGTAACTCTCACCTCACCTTTGCCAAATGTAATTTTTAACTTATAGACTCTGATTTTTCTTTTCTTTAAAGTACTACATTAAAACGTAACTTATTAATATTTTCACTTCATCATGCTTTATCAGTCTTCAAAAATAGAACATATGGTAAACTCAAAAAACCTGGCATGTTCCCCAAGATACCATGTTCCACTATTATCCTCATTTATTACACTGTCGAGAGTTTCAATTCATATTTATTTATTTTTTTTATTACTATCTTTACAACCCTCAATAGTTCTTTGTCACCTGTTTAGATTCTTGAAAGTACCTGTAAATCCACTCACCAGGCATTTGCCACTCTCACAATTATCAACAGCACAACAGGGGCTTCAGGACCATACCTGATGAATGATGACAGGTTAATATATAACAACTACTAACGTGGCAGATTCTTGAGAATACCCCTACAAACACTGCTAAGAAATAAAGTTTTCTGGAATTTAACTGGAAGTGAAGGACGTTTTATGGACATGTAAAATAACTTGAATCCAATGAGTAAATTAGCCAACATTAGACCTGATGTGTAGAGACACTCAGTAATTGCTATTTGTCTTCCCATTTCCCAAGACAAATGTTCTTCCTTAGAGTTCTCTCCTGATCACAAACATGCTTTAAGAAGCAAAATATTTGGACCACTTTGGGGGATGGATTCAGATGAATACAAAAGAGCAGATCTTGCCCCCTCTCAAGACATTTCCTAAGATTTTCCTATACACTATGACTGTGTTGAGGCTATGGCTTTATGGATTATTCATTTTTTATCATTAATTACCCCATCACAGCATACAATTTTATGCTATATGTGTTTATATATTTTCCCTATTATCAATAGAGTAGTGTTTTGCCTTAAAAGCCCGTTTAATGTTTCTTTTGTCTGGTTCTTGTAAACTAAGCTTCAACATTTTAGAGGTGCAAGATTCTGAATCTCATCCCCCCAACCCTCAACCGGAGCCCCCAGTATTTGTAGGCATGTGCAATGTGGGTAAGGAATTTAAACATACAGAAGAAGCAAAGCTGAATGAGATCAAGTCTCAAAATATGTTGCTGGATCAAATGATGAGTGAGAAAAAAAGTAAACCCACCTCATTTCAATAGTGCAAGGGGGATTTATGGATATGAGGGAGTGGGGAGAGAGATTTGTTTACACTTTCTTACTCCATTGATTGCTTTATTAACTCACTAGCCTGCAGCCTTTGGTCAATAGAAACTCCTGACCAAGTCTGGGTCTTGAGAAGTTCCATAATTCACCTTACCCCCGGGGTAAGCAGACACAATGGTCACAGCGAGAAAATGAACCTCAGATTGCAAATGGCAAAACCATCTTTTTCAAACACTCATTCTTAGTGATAGGCAGAGTTTTCAGAAAGATATATTAAATGTCTATTATATTCCAGACAATGAAAATTATGTTATGGTTAATCGTGAGAATCACCCTTTGAGGTTGAATTATTATATCCCCATTATAGATGAAAAGTTGAGCTCGGTCAGGTTGAGTGGCACGTCCAGCGTCACATCACTGCCCAGCCACGTTGCAGGAACGTATGCCAGAGGCTTTCGTTCGAATCCTATGGCTTTCCCACTAATATCTATGCGAAGCCATTATATTTTCATGCAGTTTGGGACAGAGTATTTTTTTTTTTTTTTACCATTTTTATTTCTCTTTCTGACACAGGAAAAAAAAAAAAAGTTTCTTTTGCTTACCTCACGGCACTGCTGCCTACATCGAGGTCTTGGGCCGTGACGGCGCCGATGATGGTCCCGACCGGCGTGTCTTCGTACACGTCCATGGTGTACAGCGGCTTGCTGAACACCGGCGGCTCCTCCACGTCCAGCACGCTGATCTTCACCGTGGCTGTGTCTTTGAAGGGGCCCGCCGAGTGGAACCGGTGGTCAAGGTGAAGGTTGGAAGCTTCGACTTTAAAAGTGTAGGCCTTCTTTGTCTCAAAATCTAAAGGCTGTAGCGAGGACAAAGAAAAGTGAGGAGGTCCACTCATACAGAAGGCTCAAAGGCGGTGAACGTTGCTTCAGAATATTTGCAGGGGAATACAGATTGCATGGGCTTCAACATTTCGTGGTCCTTTGTACTTAGTGGGTAAGGAAATGTGTTAAGAAAAGCACCCACTTGTCGAAGATTCTGGGTAACTTGTACAGATGAGGCGTTGCATACATTAAAATGACGTATATGTGCACACGCATGCTAGGTAGGGTTTATTCATTTCATATGAGCGGTTAAAAACAGCAAAAGAACTTTTAAGGGAAACATTTTCTGCTCTTATACAATGCTGACATCTAGTGGAATTGAGCAGTAATTAAAACAGAAAATTGAAACTGGTTAATTGAAGATAATCTTTAGATTCCACTTTAAAATTTGCTATAAAAAAGGTTTTTTTTATAACCACTTTTCTTATTTTGACAAGAATATAATTTAATATTAAACACAATTTGTTTGTCTTTATTGATTTTTTTAGAGAGAGGAAAAGAGATAGAAACATCAATTGGCCTCCTCTTGCATGCCTCTACTGGGAATTGGGCTCACATCCTGGGCATGTGCCCTGGCAGGAACTGAACCAGCAACCTCCTGATGCATGGGCTGATGCTCAACCACTGAGCCACACTAGCCAGGGTCATATTAAAACTTAAATGTTTAAGTTTTTTTTTACTAAAAAGGGACTGTATACGGATTTTAAAAACATGCAGTGTTAATTATGAAAAGAGTTTTAGTCTTTTGTTTTCTCAGCAATGAATATATAATCATTAGGCACTGGAATTGTTAGGCATCATTAGGATGTTTTACCAATAATTAAGGATATTTTACCAATAATTTTACCAACATATATGTTCAAATGAAAGAAAATTGAAATATATCTGGAAGTCACTTGTCGTTGATTCTCTATTTTAAATTTACTACTGCTTATATTTACTTTTTTCCTGAATATTGGTTTTATGTTCCCCAAACTGAAAATATTGTATTTTAGAAATATGTTGTTGCTGGGTGTTTTAGATAAATGAAAACTTTAAGATCAAAGAGTCTAACTTCTAACCATCTATGAAAAATTGAGACAACATGAAATTAACATCAACATAGAAATTTATGGGGACCTTTAAAACTTTCTGCTTTCTGAATTAATTCCCTCTAGTGTGACTCTTACAACTTGCTCATTGCTGTGTGGACGCATCTGTTTTTTACTTCAGTAGGCCTGGGGGAAATAAAGGAAGTCTATTTCTCTCTTTCAAGGCCAAGAATGTTGTTTTATGTGTTTTCTCTGAGGATGGAAGAAGAAAATCTAAAAATTACTGTGAAATCTTCAGAAACGATCACAATACCATGGAGCTTATTACAGCAAACAGTAATACCACTTGGACTTGACACTGTGTTTTTCACAGTGATTTTCATTCAGAAGGATTTGTTTATTTTCCCTGTAATTAGTCTCATTTTATCTAATTTGTCCAGTTTTTACTCATGGTTTTATCTGCTTTGTGTTTAATGCTTTCTTTTACATTTTTATATTTTTAGTTGCTCACTTTATAGCTATTTACATATAATGTTTATTTTCTTCCATTTTCATCTCTTTTCTGTTAGGAATTTAGATTTATCATTAAGTCAATAAAAGTAAAGAATGGCATGCTAGCTGCCATGGTTGATATAGTTATTGCTTGTGCAAATAGAAATATAATAGCTTGAAAAAGAGAGGAGATGATCTTATGATGTTTGTGTTTTGATTGGCCAACACCTTGTTTTGTTAAAGGTGTCAAGCTCATGAAAAGATGACATATTTGCAAAACAGATCACAAAACATTATTCAAAAGAAAAACATAAAACTGCCACAAATACATAAAACTGCCCAGAATGAAGATCAAAGCAAGACAGAACACACATTTTCACATACTGAAAGGCCATCATGTTAAATATAAGTTAGGTTTATTCTATTCATCTCTTATAGAATTAATAATAATTTAAATTATTAAAATGGTAACATTAAGTTTAAAAAAGTAAGAAATCTTTAACAAATTAAACCATTCAAAACTGAATTAATTGAAAAAATATCGATGGGAAGGCCTGGAATACATCCTGAGGACAGAAAAATACAATGACAATTAAGGTTTACTCTCTCTACCCAAAAACTCAGAATAGTGAGAAATGTGTCATCTTGTTTAAAGAATGAGTAGTTAGAAGAAGTACTAAGTTCCCTACCATTTGGAGGGTTCAAAGGAAATGTGATACCTTAAGAGATGTCTGAGACAGACAGATGTATAAGACAGAGAGCTGCAATAGCTAATCCAAACTAAAGAACACAGAAAAATAGATTTTCTGTTTTTGTAAACTTTGTATGCTCTATAAATGTTAAAAAAAAAAAAAAAAAAAAAAAAAAAACATGATTTTTCTATCATAGTGATCTCTAACTTCTAAGGTAAAACTATTTTGACTTTATCACTTTTAGTCCTTTGGCCTAGAAAACATTTTGAGCTGCCCTGGTTTATACTTACTCCCTTTGTTGGCCCAGAATTAATTTTTATCCTAGAATGTAGGAGTTAGTAGCAATTGTTTCTTATTTCTCTCTTGGCTTTCTCCTAAAGATTGAAATGCCTCTGATTATCTATATGATTAGGTTTTTGTTTTTGTTTTTCCTAGATAAGACCTCAATTTTATTTACCTATTTGATTAAAATTCCACAGCTTTCTGATGAAATGGACTCTCCACTTTAAAATCCGTTTCAAGCCTAGAAATGAAGGGAGAATTCTTGCACCTTTCCTACATTTTTAAAAGGAAATCAGACATAGCCTATGCATTTTAAGGACTCCTTACCGATCACAGCAGGCAAACATTTGGTGCTCGGGGAGATGTGGAGTGAGATGAAAGAATCTTTCTGTACATACAGATTTTTTTTTGTAACTGAAAACTGATATCCTGCAGTGATCAAAGAACTAGAGAAAATTGGAGGAGAAATGCTACAATAATATCCTAGATGACCTTACTTTTTCATGACCCTGACCCTTAGGCAATGCCTCTTTTTAAATCTGAGTAGTTCAGAAAGATCAAAGATAAACAATACTGATCTTTCTCTGGCTGACTTGATCCAATCCATGTGACTGACTACCTTCCACTTTCTGTGGAGAGAGGGGTGAGATGGTGTCAAGGAATGAAATTCATCTACTTTACAATCAACAGAAATTCTGATATATGAAATAAAAATAGAACAGACAGGACTATGTTTGTTAGAACAATCATATTCTGTGACAGAAGTCTATTATCATAAAGGTGAGCTTATTTACTCCAGCACAACAAATGAAACCATTGTGGCCTTGCTTGGGAACCGTTCAATTTTAGGACCCTTTCTAGAAAAGTAAGAAAATGATTAATTAAAGGGAATTTAATTGAGTAACTTCTTGCTCCAAAAAGTATGATAGGCAGTTAGACAGACATGAGCAGAGCAAAACATGATGGGCCAGGTACAGAAGGTCACCAGGGTGGGAAACCCTGGGTGCCTAGCAAGGGACAACTGTACGGTGGGACCTCATCCCCAGGGTAACATTTCCTCCTTAGCGTGTTGCTGGATATGTGGTTTGGACCCTCCCCCACTCCTTTCATTATCTCTGCTCACGCCGTTTAGATCCCCTGACTTTCCCTTCTTAAAGATAACATCTAGTCCTCAGACTTCAGCTCCAGGCCCAGAAAAGCAGCAAAACCAGAGGAGGGATGCATGGCTGACCTCAGGACCAGTTAAAGACTCATCTCCCATCCCCCATCCTGGTGCCAACCAGTCAAGCAGTGATGACCCCCACAACCCTCAGCAAAGGACACACCTGGAAAGCTACTGAATATGCTGTTGAGATCTTCCCCTGGAACCTTCACTAAAATCCTCACCCTTAAAAGCCTGTAGGCCAGAAAACTCAGTGCCAGCCTTCCTGGTAGCCCTAGCCTTTCCTCTCCCCTTTCCCCTCCCCCGAGGTGCTTTGCCCTTACCTGCCTGTGCCTCTATAACTTGTTTCCTAAGCCCATTTCTTCTAGGGGTTACTTCTTCTACCTCTATGACTTTCTAAACAAACATTCTCTTGGAGCTGCACTCTTGGCTCCGAATTCTTTCCTAGCCGGAATTCAAGTACTAGGTTGCTGAACCCAGGTCCAGTCTGACCCCACTGGTCTAACACCTGGTGCAACTCTTGCTTCCTCCAACAAGGATGTTTCAATAAAAAAAGTTGGTGACAACAGAATTTTCAGAAACAATTGACATTGTAGAAAGTTGTATGGGAAGAAACCAGAACATGGAGAAATGGAATTCAATATATTTACTTGTTCATCATAATATAAAGGGAGAATTTGGACAAAACACTGCTTGATAGCATCATTGTTTTTAGCCTCTATCTTTGCTCTTACTTTATTGAGGTCCTGGTCATGAAAAGCCACATAAAATACATGCCAAATTATTTTCTCATGTCAAAGATTTTGGGTATGTGTAAAACACACTACAAACTGAACTATTTCAAAATGAAGTCCCAGCTGCCCCCCCCCCCCCCCGGAAGATGCCTTATTTGTCTTGTCCTCAAACCTTTGGAATATAAAACTGGGAAAATAGCCTCAGGACTGGGTATTCCAAACAGCTATTAACTAAGCTAACAGATAAGCAGACATTATAACTGCCAGACCAAAATTAAAGACATTGTTTAGAATTAGTAATACTATCTTAGCTTATCCACACCTACAGACACTTCTTCCTTCTATTTAAATAATTATTGCCCTTTTCTATTTTATACATGCCTGTTGTCTTTACCTCCTAATTGGAACACCATTTGGGTTTCTGCCTAAGTCAGGGCTATTGAACAGCTAATTTTTGGATCTCAAGTATATGCTTGTTGTTTCTCACTTTGGCTATTTATTTTTAGGTTGACATATCAAATACAAGAGAATAACTTCTGAGCTCTTCCAGAACTCATCATGCTTCTGGACAAGGTTTACTAG